GGCCTCACAGAAAATATCTATTCCAACGTGTCCACTGAGATTGCGCCATTGCACTCCAGCCTGGGCGACAAAAGCGAAACTCTGTCTCATTAAAAAAAAAAAAAAAAGGTGGGGAAGAAACAGGATTGAACAGGAGCACCTCAGAATACAATGCACACCTGACAGTTTTGGCCAACTCAATGGGAAACACCAGAGCAAAGACTGCCGATTGGAAGATATCCGCTTTGGCCAGAAATAGCCAGCCCCTAGTACTTCCACTATGTTTGGTTATTATCTGGAGACGGTTCAGGAAGAGTGTGGCCTTAGCTTGAAAACTGAGGTGGTCTGAAGCTGCTGCAGTTGGAGGCTGTCAACTAACCACTCTCCTTGCAGCTGAATGGAAGTTATTTCTTGAACGGAGAGCCAAGTGGTGTGTCTTCACAACTACCACGGTCCACCCCGTGCACCATGCAACTCCCGTCCCATTTAGGGAACAGCTCCTCCAGGGTTCCAGTGTGCCTCTCTTCTTGCAGATAAACTTAAAAGAGGCAGATCAGTGGGATGAACTATACCCCTTGTCACAGCAGTCGATCTTGGGATCGCAACTGATACTTATCCTCTCCCTTTTCCACTATCCATTCCAAATTTACTCTCCCTCAGTTACCATCTCTAGTGGTCTCAGTGACTTGCTGGTGGTGTGACAAAACTTTCATTTTTGAATGAAACCACTGGTAACCATACTTATCTCAAGCTGAGGTTGCTGTACTCATCCATGTATGTTCTCAGTTGGGCCAGGGAGTATCATAAAGCACCCAAGTGGACTGCATGAGTTCTCTACGTATTCTTCATTGCCCCCACTTGTAATAGCAACACAAACTCCTCCTGCTAATCAGGAGCAATTACCCTTGCCAAGATGGCAACTCTTCTTACCTGCTGATTCATGGTCACGAAGAATTCAAAATGCCAGGGCAGGAGCCATATTTTATAGTTCAAATGGAACTCTTGCTGTTTCCCCAACCATGACGTTTCATTAGGGCAACCTCTTGCAGCCTCCTGCTCCTCCATTCTTGCTTTTATTTATTTATTTATTTATTTTTTATTTTTTTCTTTTTTTGAGACGGAGTCTCGCTCTGTCGCCCAGGCTGGAGTGCAGTGGCCGGATCTCAGCTCACTGCAAGCTCCGCCTCCCGGGTTTACGCCATTCTCCTGCCTCAGCCTCCCGAGTAGCTGGGACTACAGGCGCCCGCCACCTCGCCTGGCTAGTTTTTTGTACTATTTAGTAGAGACGGGGTTTCACCGTGTTCGCCAGGATGGTCTCGATCTCTTGACCTCGTGATCTGCCCGTCTCGGCCTCCCAAAGTGCTGGGATTACAGGCTTGAGCCACCGCGCCCGGCCCCACTTTTATTTATTTATTTATTAATTATTATTATTATTATTTTTTAAGATGGAGTCTCACTCTGTTGCCCAGGCTGGAGTGCAGTGGCGCTATCTTGGCTCACTGCAACCTCCTCCTCCCGGACTCAAGCAATTCTCCTGACTCAGCCTTCCGAGTAGCTGGGATTACAGGTGCCTGCCACTATGCCTGGCTAATTTTTGTATTTTTAGTAGAGACAGGGTTTCACCATGTTGGCCAAGCTGGTCTCAAACTCCTGACCTCAGGCAATCCGCCTGCCTTGGCCTCCCAAAGTGCTGGGATTATAGGCGTGAGCCACCGCACCCAGCCTCATTCTTGCTTTCTTTTGATGGTGCATATTAAGCAGCATCCCCATTGACTGGTCATTGACTTTGTCCTTTGGGACACCATACTCTGTGAACTATCTCCACAACTCTCTTTGGATCAAGCTCCCTTGGCTGCCATTCTGCTTTGCTGGTCATTACTATAATTACAACCCTCTGGCTTCTAGAGGTTAAGTGCTGCCCCCTGGCCTCTTGCTTCAGGAGCCCACCATGCTCATTGCTATCCATGAACCAAGCTCTGTGACAGCATCTCCTACCCACAGCCCTTGCTAGCACTGAACTTCTCACTGATGCTGGCACCTTCTCCCTGGAGTATTCCTGATGGCCTTGGCAAGTGAAGCATAAGCTCTGGGCCTATGTGTGTAGCATAATCCTCTGGAGGTCTTCTGGCCTCACAGAAAATATCTATTCCAACGTGTCCACTTCCCTCTGCATCTTTATTCCTTCCTCTACCATCTGCCAGGGCAAAATTCACACATTTATTAAGTGCTGGTTTGTGTGGCGTCCTTTGACAGGAGACATAAGACAAACAGCTCAGAGTGGAAGAAATAGATGTTCTCAGGACGAGGCTGTATGGTGTCCTGGTTTAGAGCATCTGCCCTACAGTCAGAATGCCTGCGTTTGAAATAATTTCTGCCACGAACTAGCTGTGAGACCGTGGGTGAGTTATTCAACCTTTCAGGACATCTCCTAAAATGGGGATAATGTTTTCTTCCCCAAAGATTTGTGGGGAGGAACCAAAAATTAAATGGATTATTGAATATAAAGTCCTTAGACCATTGGCCAACCCTTCGTCAGTGCCCTATAACCGTTGCCTGTTTAGCATGTCATAAACACGTGACTCGCATACATTATATTAAAATAGAGCAGAGTAGTTAAGTCTGGGGAAAGGAAACTAACTTTTATTAGATGACTGTTCTCTTCCAGGCGCTATAACACTATTTTCTCATGATCCCCTCTTTAATCTTTGCAATAACTCACAAGGTAGGTATTACCAGTTGCAGTTTCCTGAGGAGGAAACCAAAGCTGGGAATTATTTTATCCTCAAAGAGGCAATAAGTTGATGGCCACAATCGGGACATTCAGCTTTTCTCCTCACATTTAGAAATGTCATGTGGCTGTGAGTCACCTTGTGAGGATCTTGTCACATCCTTAGGCTGTACTGCCAACACTGAAAATGCACTGTGGCTGACCCGTTTCAGCAAAGCCAGGCTGCAGTTTTCCTGTGGATTCCCATTCCAGCAGCTAGGCTGGGCTGTCCTTTGGTTTTGGTACCACTGTGATTCTGCTGTGTGGCTACTTTAGAGACTAGAGACTGCCTAATGTGAGCAGTAGGTGATCTAACGTACACTCATTATTTGTTGACTCAGCATCTATCAAACTTTAGTCAACTGGCAGCATCATGGTTTTCATCCATGGAATTCTGCCATGTTGGTTCCACCCTCAGCTCTGGGAGGGGGCATGTGCATGGCACCTGGATAATCAGATCATGGCATTCCCAGCCACAGTGATGGGTTTTGGGGAGAGGAGACATGTTACAATTCAGGCCAATTCATGTCGGGCCCAGGACTTAACTTATATTGGTTTTTTTTTTTTTTTTGATACGGAGTCTCGCTCTGCCGCCCAGGCTGGAGTGCAGTGGCCGGATTGCAGCTCACTGCAAGCTCCGCCTCCTGGGTTTACGCCATTCTCCTGCCTCAGCCTCCCGAGTAGCTGGGACTATAGGCGCCCGCCACGTCGCCCAGCTAGGTTTTTGTATTTTTTAGTAGAGACGGGGTTTCACCGTGTTAGCCAGGATGGTCTCGATCTCCTGACCTCGTGATCCGCCCACCTCAGCCTCCCAAAGTGCTGGGATTACAGGCTTGAGCCACCGCGCCCGGCTATATTGTTTTATTTTATTTTTGAGACAAGGTCTTGGCTCTGTCACCCAGGCTGGAGTACAGTGGTGTGATTATGGCTCACTGCAGCCTGGAGCTTTCAGGCTCAATTGATCCTCCTGCCTCAGCCTCCTGAGTAGCTGGGACTACAGGTGCACGCCCCCCTACCCAGCTAATTTTTGTAGAGACAGAGTTTCACCATGTTGCCCAGGCTGGTCTCAAACTCCTGGGCTCAAGTGATCCACCTGCCCTGGTCTCCCAAAGTGTTGGGATTACAGGTGTGAGCCACCAAGCCCAGCTTGGACTTAACTTTATATTGATGGCAATGAAAAGCTTTCTCTTTTTCTGCCTGTAGCTCTATAAGGTCATAAACCACCTGCCACTACTGGTTACAATCTGCCTCCCATAAAATGAAAGTATGCCTCAGAATAAAGCCAGAATAGAGGCAGGAAAAACAGAGACATCAGGAGAGCAGTGGTCCTGGTAACATCATTTGAGCCCCGACTCCAGGTATACCTGAAGCCTGTATATTCCTTGGCTTTTTAGTTCTGTTAAGTAAAACTTACAGTGAGGTCATTGGTTTGGACTGAGCTCCTGCACTGGGCCCCAACATATCAGACCAAACCAGAATGGAGTCACTCACGCTAGCTGTTATGTAGTCAAACTGAACTTAGAAGTGGATCAGTTTTCCAAAGAAAAGGAAGATTCACAGCAACCAATCCAAAGAGGCCCCATCAACCTGGGCCAGCATGATAAGGAAGTCCCTTCTGCTTTAATCCTATAAGAAAAGTGACTTTGAAACAACCAAACTGCTTTTTATTCCTTGTTTCTGCTTTCTTCTGCCTCTTCTGCCTGTAAAGCCCAGCTCCTCTGCTCAGCTCCTCAGGGTGCCTTTGTATTTTATAGAAGAAATGCTGCCCAATTCATGAATTACCAACAAAAGGGTCTTTAAACTTGATTTGTTGAAATTTTGTT